AATCTTTGCCTTAACTAAAGTTTACTACTGGAATTTTCCTGCATCCGCCATCTTAGTTTAACTTTTGTCTGATTATTTTTACCAAGAAATGATTCTCAAATGAATTGCTTTTTTATAGGATAACGGTAAGATCGTTCAGGTCTTATGGAATAAATCATCACCATAATCATCATCACCGTCACTTAGGAAAGAAACAAAGTATTGAATTCATTGTTATCATTCTTCAATATTCTTGATTAAACATTTATTGTTATTAAGCTAGTGAGGCCAGATTGAATGCATGATATCGATCTACTTTATGAATTTCCTAATGTACAACAACGTATACGCCCTCTACTTAAACCAAATGGGAGAAATAAATTATATCTAGAAAATATGATTACGACAACCCCTTATTCGCGGCTGATTCTCTTTTGATGTTCTCATTTAGTTCTTGCTATGCGTATCATCATGAGTTGATTTGGCTGGGTAATGAACTCATGGCTATTATCATTGAATTTAAAATTGTTCATGGTAATAAAGTTTACACAATCTGGCTCGCGAAGGATTAATCACTGTATAGTTTACAAAATTCCGTAAAGCTTTAAAATTTTGAGTCAGCTTAGTATAATTTTTTTTTTTTTTTGTGTTTCGTGATTTGTAATTACATTAAATATGCTCGCATTTGAATATTTTTATTTATGTTACATGACTTCAGAAATTTTTGTTAATTATAATTTCAGAAAAAAATTACGTATAAAATGTGAAGGCGAATTAAGTGATAAATATTATCTTTAGATTACAAATAGATCCGAAATTTTTTTTTTATCACCAAAACTCATAAAAGGCTTCTATATTTTTTCGGAACCTTCCCTCCTCTTTGCAATGCATCATTACTAAATTTGTAGCATGGCTTTATTTTTTCATAGATGGATATTAACTCCTTGTATCGATTATGTAAAACTTCACAAAAATTCAAAATATCCATTAATAACATTTCGACTTGCGTCTCGATATTATTAGAGGCTAGCTCCGAACAGTAATTTCAATATATGCGTTAAGATATATCATATCATATCCAGCGGTTATTAACGAAGACTTATTAAACTTTTATAAATGATATTTGATAACGAGTCCTTATATATTTACTAATAATTTATAGCGATTAATGAATATTAAGAATTATAACTATTTAGCGATTTTATCAAGTTATACTTAAAGAAATATCATGATTCCAAATTTATACGAATTCTAGTATAGTCCTTCGCCACGATCAGGTTTAATAAAATCTAAACATCCAAACTTTTTTTTTTTTTTTTAAAGATCAATAAAGATTATTCGAAAAAGATTTTTTTTATTCTTATGAGCAAAAGCAGTTTCTTCATTGGGTGGAGAATTAATAATAGATATTAGTGACTGTTAAAAAAGTTAGAGTTTTTATTATTTTTTTTTTCAAAAATAACCACTTGATATCAAAATGTATAAATAAGAAATTTGTATCATTAGCTTGAGGTTAATACCCAAACCAACAAAGTGGTTCCAAGATGAAAAGATGATGAAGGGAAAGAGGCAGCTCCGCTCTCCCAAAAGCATCAATGGTTTAATGATGTAAAAGGTTTTTTACAAATATTTTATCAAGATAAACTATAAAAAAAAAAAAAGATTGGTTATGCCTCATAGTTTAATAAATCTTTAAACGAATGAAAAATTATTGAAAAATAAATACATGAAAATTTATACACAAAAAAAAAAACCAAAAAAATGAATATTACTAAATTAAGCTTTGTTTCGCCCTTAAATTTAATTCCTCTTGATCAAAAATTTCATCGTATTTTTCTTCTGCCCATTCTTGTCGCTTTCTAAGAAATTCCTTAGATGCATCCGATAAAGATGTCATATCTTCTTCGGCTACTTTCCAAGAAAAGTACCAAAGTAATTCTGCCAATCCTAAAAATATTAGGGCTCCCCACACTGTAAATTCAACATATTTAGAGTAGTAAGTCTCGATTTTTTCTCCGGTAAAGGGCATTTCCCAGGCGAATATATTCACTTGTTCATTCGACGAAATTTCAAAGTGTCGAACACGACCATAAGGATCTAAATAAATCGAGAATCATTAAAAAGATTAAATTTAATAAACTTTTTATTTTTAAGAAACAAAAATTGGTAAAAATGTTATATATCTAAAAAAAAAGCAGGTATTACCGATGAGTCCCGAGGCTCCTCCACCATCACATCTCAATATCCAATAACCGTTTTCGATAGCTCGCACCGACGACATTTGTAAATGTTGTATTCCAACCTGCGCGGACCAAGTTTGTGCAGGGGACAAACAAAATCCGCAGCTGCTGCTTGGCCAAGTAATTCTGGAAAATCCATATCTAAACAAATGGCTCCGCTCACATCCAATTTATGCAATTCTTTTTTACTTTTTGTTTCTATTTCTGCATTTACTACTTTTAGCTTACCCGGACCACTTTCAATAGAATAAGATTCTATCCAAGGAACGGGATGAGTCTTTTGCTATTCAAATAATGTTGTATTGTTTGGCCCGACAAATCTTAACATGTTTTTTTTTTTGTGACCGTTGTCTCCAGTTGGAATCGTGTATGTCAAACCCAAATAAAATTTATGTGCTGTTGTAATTCTATAAGCATTTTCCAACAAATCATCAAGTTCATCATCGTTTCTTAATGCTAATGCAGACTCACCCCATACAATCTTTGCTTGAAGACCAGTCGAGATGGTCGCAGTTTTTTTTAACATTTCTTGAACACTCGTGTTGTGAGTGGGAAGAATACAACCAACTCTCTCATAAGGTATACGATTAACATTACTCTCTATGTGTTTTAATCTTCGACACCTATAAAGTAAAAATAGAACTGCTACAAAGATCAAAATACGCAAATAAAAATTCACGGTTAAATCATCCTTATACACCTTGAGATTATTTGATGGTTGAGGTTGCTCAATTTCAGAGATCAAAGCTGTATCCTCATCTACTATTACGGTACGTGTTGCTCTATTAATCCTATGATTCAAGATGAAAAAGTCCGAAATAATTTGTGTCCATGATGCTAATAAGAAATTGATGGCGCCAAGTCCGCCAATTGATGTTAACCGCATAAAATCACCTGAGATTCCTGAATTATATATTGTGTAGGACCAGTCCCCCAAGAGCCCAACGGGGAATATCTTCGAAATAATGACCAAATTTCCGTCCAAATGATTGGAAATATAATTCTCGAATTCAGATTATGTGTGAAATTTTCAAACCTTTCATTAACCTTTACCATGATGAATTTGTTAAGGATTATTGGGGCTAACGTTATGCTTGAAATCGATGCCCCCACGATTATTAAAATGAAAAATCATCAAAGTAACTCTCTCCATTGGAGAGGTTGATGGCTCATTGTGAGCCAAAGCTGCTCCCAAAGTAAGCGCTGTTAATAAAGGGATGTTTATTAATGTTGGGCTTTTGCGTAAATTATCGGTAAATTTAAAAAAGGTAATATTCGATTGGAATTTGGTCCAGTTCCAAGCAATGTCAGGATGAAAACCAACGCGTGGGCTATGAAAGGAATCATTAGAAATAAATTTATTTATAAAAAAAAAAAAAATTGTAAAATGAGGGAATCTTTTTTATATTTATATATTTATATTTATTTATAATAAATAGAATACTAACAAATTAACATATTTTAACCTTGACATCTTGCACCTCCATAACTGTGCGAAATTCATCAAAAGAATATATCGTTGATTTCTTTTCCCTATATGTTGTGGCTGAAATTGGAATTCCAATTTCAGTTAACTGATCTTCGAATCTCAATTTCAGACACTCAAAGATCTCTGAATTCCAACTTCAGACGAAAATCAATTTCAGTCACAACAATGGATGTAGATGGTTGAATTTGTGCAAATCTTCCAAGCATGACGTAATTTTAGGTGAAACTTTCACATTTCGCGTCCAAATTCTATAGTCCTGGTTAGACACAGTAAGAAAATCTTCTTTTAAACATCAAAAATCCATTAGTTATTATGTTTAAAAAAATAATGTGTAAATAATATAGCAGACCTTATTAACCCGTGTTTAATCTGGCCTGATTGCATCGACATAAAGAATTAATCAATATGCATAACTTCATGCCTTAAATTTCCGATATAAATACCAATGACATTCGCTTAAAATACCGTCCGTATTAACAAATAACCATATATTTCTTGCCTACGGGATCGTGCTTCTAATATATCCTGTCTTTTAGTTTCGCTAATTAACTAAGCTATACGTAATATTAAATACTGTAAGCTTATACTTCAGTACTCTATGATTGTTTTATCATCACCGCCAAAATTGTCTTCTCGTAAGTGTTATTAAAAATGAAGAAATGATATAATAATTAGCTAGTAGCATTGCAAAATTATTTATGATGCAAAATTGTTATTTAAATTTTACCTCTAACCGTTCGATATATGCTTCGGTTTTAATTTTGACACCTCCAGCTGATTAAATTAAATCTCTTACTCGAAAGGTTGGTTAATGTTAAAAATATTGTAAAATATTTAGAAATACAGAAATACATTCATGTTTAAGAATTTTAATAATTATGTAGTACATATGGTAGGACGACTAATTTTGTGGTTATATAAAATAGGTAGAGATCTGCAAACTCGAGTTTCTTTTATTGTACTAGATTTATTATTTTATTTTATTAAACTTTATATTTTCCAGATTTTATTTCTATATTATCTTTGTGTAAATCCATTATCGTTCAGTGATATTCCTGCGATGTCCTGTTCAATACTCACACGCAATCTGTATTCTGATGGGAATTTTATGGTAAATGCCAGCTTACAAAATTGTAGGTGCAAAATAACTCTGGAAATGATCTTAATATAACAACAAGATCTATGTAAGAATTTTTTTTTTACTAAGTTTTGGGTTTTTTTATCTATTTACATTTGCGAATTAACATAATTGTAATAAAGTATGATCCATTTGTTTTAAAAATTAATTACATTTTGTATAAGAAAATCAGAAGTAGAATCTAGTGCTATATTATGTTGAAATTTCCAAACGAAAAAAAAAAATCCAATATTACATGCAACAGGTTTATAATAACAAATATTAAATAGGTGGTGACTTCATTTAATAAGTAAAATTGTCATGTGTATAAACTTAGAATCATATGATTTGTGAAACAATAAACTCGAGATTTTTAATCGACGCATTTAATATAAACATCTTAAAAAAGTTTTTTTAAATATATCGGATCCTTGTATTATTCGTCTCCACTCGGAATCTGTAGAAAAAAATCCCATATATAATATATTTTGATTTTGTTCACTTCATGGTTATATAACATTATTAGTTGATAACTATGAAAACGTTGATAAAATGGATGCTCACTTTTCCTTCTATAGAATGTTAAGTTTAATTAA